TTTTTTTTTTTTTTTTTTTTTTTGTTCCTTTATATAGAGTTGTTTATCATACATTCATACTTTATAATCAAGCTAATCATCTTTGCTAGTTTCCAATCTATAAACTTAAGTAGCAATGGACAAGACATAATTTCCATCATGGGAAACTACTCTTCATCATCTTAAAACAAAATACATGAAAGAAATTCTAAGATGGCAAAACATGATAGGGATACCACTTTGCAAAGCAGAATTCTTTCCAATTAGAATTGTCTCATTATCAAATATTTCTAATTGATGATGATGACGATGATACCAAGGATGATAATGATGATAAGCAACAGATATAAGCTTACACAAGGAAGTGATCAAAGCATTCATTGTTGAAACTGCTAGATTTAGCTTAATAGATTTGATTTGTTCATATAGCTCCAGCGCCTTATGCCAGTTTTTGGCCTGAAACAAGACAAAACATTTATAAGAGTCCCCAACTGTTATTAAGCATTAAAAGTTTGGAAAAGAGATCGATTTCAACTCCACACCCATAATTCATACATCCAAGGCTAGAGATAGAGGATTCAACCATTCACGTTGTACAGTGAGGATCCTCGTTGGAAACATCAGAACTATATATTAAACAAAAGATAGCATGCCCTTTTTAGCCACAAAAATGAAAAAACACACCATGTCTTAACATTAGAAAGTTTTAGGGTTGGATAGGTGTTCCAAATCTTTTTCTTCATTCTCCTAGAAGAGAGAAGCAAGTTTAAAATGGATTAGTATTTTAATTGTGAAAGGCTCTAAGGGAATATACTGCCAAGACCCAATAACATTAGGTTGTACATAATGTTCTCTTAACAAAAGCAAGCATGCAGTCAACCAGGTTTAATTTAAGTTTAAGATTTTTCCTGTTTTTTAAATTATTTTCTGTGTAAGCAGCCACAAATAATTTTTTGAAAAAAATAGAGGGGGGGGAGGGGGAAGAAAAGGAGAGACATACATTGCTACAATATTAAATCAACATTTACCACAGGACAGACTAGATGAGACATACATTGCTACAGGCTCCCATCAATGAACTATATGACACGATCCCGATATTTATCCCTTGCTTTCTTGCTTCCTGTAGGATCTCAAAAGCAGCATCCAGCTGACCAGCATGCCCAGCAAAATCTATTAATGCACTGATAAACACCTGAACAAAAGGGAATTTTGTTATTATATTGACACATATGACAACAGGAGTAAAAGGAAAGTTATTTTGTAATACATTGGTTTTAGGATGGAGGCCTGAAATATATTTACAGATGGGAAATTAGGAATCATTTTACCTTCAAAACACACTTAAGAACCTACCCTTCCTTCCATCCCCTCAACCCGCACACAGACAAAAGAAAAGGAAAGGAAAGAATACATACTCCACATTCAAATTCATCAAATAGGGGAAGAGAAAGAATAGGAAGGTACCTCATCAGGAACCACGCCTTTGCTTTTCATGTCACTATACACACTGATGGCAAATTGCCAATCACCAGTCTGGCTGCAACAATTAACAGCAATGGTATAAAGCTCAGGAGTGCCCTTGATGTTGTATTCATGGATCATCTTGTAAACTTCCCGTGCTCGATCAACCTGTAGGCAGTGATGTTATTCCCTGACAATCATAACTAAAGAAGAAGAGTATTGAGAAAGTCTGAGAAAGGTGATATGCGCACCTGACCAGCATTGGCACATGCCTTTATTAATGCGCCAACAGTGACATGATCAGGGTCTATAGGGTGTGTCTCAGCACTCATTTCTGCTAACACATCAAAAGCACGATCTACCGCTCCAGATTGACCACATGCAGTAATAAGTGCATTAAATACAACTCGGTCCGGCTTCACATTCTACTGCATGTAACACCTCTCATCAGCAAAATTGGTTACATTTCAAAGAAAAACAGTGCATGTTATACAAACTAAGCAGTTGAGGCAAATTTATCAATATCAACACACGAAGAAACAATATACATACAAGTGTGCTGGATAGGAAGTTTAATTAGGCCCTCGTCTTAAATAGTTAAATGATTTTATATATTTTTTTGATAAAAATCTGGGTGTGCCTGGTTATTTTACATAGAGGATTTGAGCTTATTTCTATAAAAAAAAGCTAGCCATTTTCTTAAAAAATTCTTATATAAATAAAAATGCCAAAGACACATCCTACACTGTTACTTTGGTGATATCCTGAAGTAATTTTACCTAAAACCTTTGATTTCCATTCTTTTATAAAGAAAATTAATTGGGTGTTCTATTTAGGAAAAAGATATCAAATTTAGAAACTCGGTTGTTTGTACCCTAAAAAATATACCAAAATTTATAAAAGACAACAATATAATTATAATAATTGAAAATTGTCAGAATAAATCTAGAAGATAATTTGCAAAACTTTTTATGCTACCATAACATGAAAAACCCACACTTGCTGATCCTACTCATAATATCCGTCTAACAAAGACAGCAATCCTAAAATTTTGGACATGTCAGCAACACCAGGAGACAAGTAGAGCACTAGTACCCAAGTCACTGTGACAGAGAAGAACAATAATATACAACATGCTAAAAGAACCTTGCGCCAAAAAATTACTCAAAAAGGAAAAATAAAGACTTCACAGAATAAAATAAGTGTTAAAGAGGAGGGAGTAACACTGTAACAGTCTTAACTGATACATTGTCAACAACCATACCTTGGATCTCATTATACCATAAGCACCAAATGCCTTAGCTACTTGCCCAGCCCTGGCACAACCATCTATAAGTGCACCATACGTATGAACATTTGGCTCCACTCCAGAATTCACCATCTCATGAAACACCTAGAAGCACAGGTTGGAGTTAGATTGCTTAAAAGTCACATTTAGCAGATTTTTGAAATGTGCTTAAGAAATAAATGAATAATTAGACGTTTTATATGGGTAATATTCCCATTGATAGACACCCAAGTAAGATTTAGAAAATTTTCATAAGAATCATTTATCTGATCTAGCACTTGAAGCAAAAAGAACCTTGACTAAACCAATTTATAAAGAAAAGAAAAATTGTAGATGTGCCTCTTTTGGAAACTACCAGGTACCAGCAGCAGTGCAAGAAAATGAGTGAAACAGTTGAATCAAATTAAGAAATGAGAAAGCCAATCAAAAAAGAAAATACTTCCTCTAGTCTGACTTAGTTGTTCTAGTTTAACTTTTGTATAAAGTTTGATTAGATGATTTTATATAGCAAATAGATGACAATTGAAAAAAATATTCTTTCTATGCATAGTTCTTGTTGACTATTTTCACTTAGATCAGGAAAAAATTTTCAATTGTCATTCTTTTCCTATATAGAGCCATCAAGTTAATTTACATAAAATTGAGGGACTAGAACAACTAAAAAAGGCTGGAGGGAGTATCAAATAAGGAAACTATAAACAGTATAAGGTCAATTAGGAATTTTGCATTTGTTGGTATCAAAAGAAGAGAGATGAACTTTCCATACCTCAAACATTGTATCAACTTGCCCACTCTTAGCACAGGTTGATATTAATGTGGTGTAAAGTTTGCAATCAGCTTTAAGTCCAGCCATTTGGACAAGTTGAAAAACCTGAAATGCACCTAAATTTTTGAACAGATATCAGAAATTTAAGTCATATTGATAGCAAAAAGTAACAAATCATGAACAGGTATTCAAAAAAGCACCAAATAGACAGAAACCATTCAGAAGACTCACCCTCTAAATCTTGAGAATTTGTGCACACAGACATCAACATGTTAAATGTGCTCAGGGTTGGGTTTGGAATCAGCCTGGTAAAACGAAAAGCTTCTTTAACAGCTTTTCGATTTTTGCAGGTTTTGAAAAACTTTGCATGATAAACCTGAAATGAGAGAATTTGATATATTAACAACTATGAATGAGGATCTCATAGTCATAAAACTAAAAAATTTAGGTGGATTTTAAAACACTAGACTACCTTTTCCATATTGAGTAAGCCCCTTCTGTCCATGTCTTCAAGCAAATCTACACAGTCAGTTAACCTAACATATTGTCTAATATAAGATCAAGAGTTCCTAAGAAGTTATAAAAGCAAGGCCAGGCAATAATAGAGATCCTCACAATATTTTAAGCTTCCAGCATCAGGTAAAATTATTAAAGAACTTGCTATATTGTTTCTTAACTTAAAAACAAACTTTGAAGCTGGAGGCAATTATCTTTCTTGTAATATCTCAAGAAGGATAAACAGAGTTTTGCGACATAAATCGAATGAAAACTCACCTCCCATCTCGTAGTAAAGAATTGTAAGCACTTAATTGCTCTTGAGGATGGCGTTTGCCATCAACATGAATCCCATTTGGGTAGTGGAATTGGGACAAATTATTGTCAGTGTCCTGGATCAGATGTCTTCTTTCATTCTCTCTTTGAAACCCCCTACTTCTTCCTAAATCCTTTCTTTTTCCAGGAGAGCCTCCTTTAAAATTTGAAAAAGAAATTTTCTCCTGAATGGTATCTGAATGGAAAAACATCCTTTTCAGTACAAAAGGGAAAAAACAAAATTCCTTAACGGTGCAAGTATAAAAGAAAGAAAAGCAGAGAGAAACACTAATGCTACTCTAAAAGATACATTAAAAATGAAAGATATCATTTTCAGGCATAACCTGCAGTTTGAAGAGGGTTCTGCACTGATAACTCTGACCCTTTTACTTCTTTTTTGGAAAATGACTCTTTTGCTTCAATTTTCCTCTTTAGAACAGAAAAACTACTGCTGTTTGGAACGAAGGCATGAGAAGATATTGGCTGCAGAACATTTAAGTTTGTTGGAGATTTTTGTGCTGATTGGTTTGCCTCATAAAAGGTGTAGAGATCTTTTCCAACAGATTCTTTGATAATGTCATGGAAGCTAGTAACTTCAGCCTCTCCAAGAAGTGTGGTATGCAAGGTGCTTCCTCCACTAACTACACCATGAGCATCATCTAGGAAATCTGGAGAAGAAAGAGACTCAGTATCCACTGTCAGTCGACAGAGATCAGGATGAAATTCATTTTCTTTCTGGTCTTTTTCCAAATTCAATTCTGACATTTCTGTTGCAAACATGATTGGATGCACAGTGCTCAGTTCAGGAGGTCCAAAAATAAGACCAGAAGATTTAATTTCTTCAGAAACAACGAAATTACTTGAATTAGACTCAAGGCATTTAAGTGACTCAGATGATTTAGTCAAGATAGAATTGGTCATCGAAGTACTTTCTTGAAATTGCAATGACACCTCTTTATTCTCAGAATCATCAGTATCCTCCCTCATTTTCTCTGCCAAATCTCCATCTTCTTTTGCATAGATTGCCACTTGAAGCTCTCCATTATCCAAAATCTGGCCGTCAAGAAACTGGTTGACGTCATTTGTGCCTTCTTGTGATGAAGAACGACTTGGTGAACCAGAAACCTATTTATTGGTAGCAGATTAGAAAAGAAACTCAACTAGACCAACAAATATTCCATATTTGCAGAATATTGTTAACTCTTAAACCAGTCTTCTCCAATTAGTCATAAAGTGTTTACACACTGAATTAAGACATCAAGCATCTCTTCTCAATCTTTTAAAATGCATTGTCAAGCATCAGATCCAAGAGTTTGCAAAGTCCCCTTGGACGATACAATCCGATGCTTAAAGTAAAATTTTGACACATTCAAAAACTGAGTTTTAAGGACAATTTGCTTGTATGCACAACTAATTAACCAATCAACCAATGATTATTAAGTTCTGAATTCATACCAAAAAAGATACTGAAAAAAACGAGGCACAGAAGTTGTGAGAAGCAGAATAGAATGCAATTCAGGGAAGAGATCAATGTTCAATAAAATACTTGCGTACACAACTCAACATCTTCTACGACACAATGCACAGCAGAGCTGACCAAAACAGATACCAATCTCAAAGCAGAAAAATGGATTTGAATTCAGTCACTTGCCTCTTTAGAACTCTCATTCTTTCTATAACGACGATTGCAGGAAGCAAACCACGCAGCGGAGAAAGAAGTCATAGCGAAAACAACAAGAACCAAATTGGAGTCAAAAGAAGCTCTGACAATGAACCGGGGAGAGTGAACCTGCAGCCTCCCCGACTTATGCAGCTGATTCAGGCGAAAAGCGCCGGGAGGGCGGAGATTGTGACTAAAACCTATGAACTGCCGGCGGATTTGACGGAGGCTGGCCGACGGAAGCAGCGTAGTGGATCGATGTAGAGTCGGTAGCTGAGGTTTTGAAGAGAAGGAGATAGTGTTTGGCTCCATCAGAGGAGTAGAGAAGGGAGGGAAAGGAAAGGGATAAAGTAAACAGGATAGAGTGAGATGGGGAAGGACGTTATGAACTGGGGGACATTAACGATGTTTATTTATGGAAATATATGGGGATAATATCTTGTACGTTTAATGTGCATGGGCTTTTTTCACTTATTGATGCCCTCCTTATTTAACGAAATATTATATTTATTTAATTTTTTAAAAAAAATAAATTTTTTATTTTATTAAATATTAATATTTAAATTTAAAAACTAATTAATTTTTAAAATTTTGAATTAAAATTTTAATTTTTAAATATAAATTGATATTTTTTTCTAAGTCATAACTGATATAACCTTTCATAATTATAATTTTATAATTTTATATTTAATTATATTAAAGAAATCATATTTTTTCTTTTAATTTTTTAAATGTGAATTTTGTATAAACATTTTACATATTAAATAATAATTTAAATTTTTTAATTAAATAAAAATATTTAATAAAAATTTTATATAAAATTTTTTAACTATTATTTAGATAAATTATTAAATTTTTATTTAAAATTTATATATATAAATTAAGATATCAAATTAAACTTACAGCGTTACAAGTTTATTTATTCATATGGTTCCCTCAGCTCACCGCACAACGGATATTTTTGCTGACGTGGCCTAAACTACTGTCTTTTTTTTTTCCTTTTTCTAGATGGACCAGATCTGTGAAGCCTAGGCCCAGTTGTAATTGTCCATTATCCATATTCTACGGCCTAATCCAAACGAAACCCATAAAGATCAAGCCCAAAAATCGAAACGACACCCATGCTGTGTCATTCGTGGCGTTTCGTTCGTGCGACGCGACCTGAACTCGCAAAGCCACGAAACACAGTTTGTCACGTCCACTATGACACATGAAGACCACTACCAGGTACAAGGCACGGTTTATCATTGTTTTCTCTGTGTTCTTGTTTGATTCTTGTCTTGGTCATGTTCTGTTTGGTTGCTGAGAAAATATAGAAAACCAAAATATTCTGTTTCTCTTTGGTTGTTTACATACTAACTTTCTTTTCTTTTTTTGGCCCCTAACACAGATTTGAGGTTGAAATTTGTGATACATTCGGTTGAATTTTTCTGTGCCTGTTGAGGAATCAGGGGAAATGGGATCTTTTCTTTCTAGAGTCTTTATGTATGTTTCTTTTTTCTTTAATGAAATTCTGCATCATTTAGATTTGCCATTTTTCTTTACTGAGAAGCATTTTGATTTTTTTGGACAGAATGGTTCTTGGTTACGCTTACCCGGCTTTTGAGTGTTTCAAAGCAGTAGAGAATAGTGAACCAGAAACTAATCAACTCCTGTTCTGGTGCAAATACTGGTACACGTTTTGCTCCCTGCATTTATTTTTCCTCCATTTCCCAAAAAATATCAAGATGGTTAAATATTTGATTATTTGATTTTTTTTTCCAGGATTTTAGTTGCTATCCTCACAGTCTGTGAAAGAGTAGGGGATACTTTGCTATCATGGTATGGTTCATTTGATCACAGCCTGATGTTAAATAACATATGCATGATATAAGTCGATTTCACACACAATGTTTTCTTATACTGTGAAATCGTATACTAGTAATGAGTGGATGCATATCAATTTTAGTCCAAGCATTTAACTTAATGGAAAGAAACAATCATATATGATATTCCAGTTAGGATTTCATCGTAAGAGAAAAGCCTGATGATCATTTTATCTTGTGTTTGTCAAATTGAAGGTTACCATTCTACAGTGGGGCAAAGTTGGGATTCTTCATTTACCTATGGTATCCCAAAGCAAAAGTACATGACACAACCTCTGAAATTTTGTAATTTTTCATTTCTAGTAATCTCATTTGAATCATTTCTCATTTCCATGTTCTCTGTTTAGGGAACAGCATATGTTTATGATTCTTTTGTCCGGCCTTATTTGAAAGAACACCAGGGAGAAATCGAGCGGAGCTTGTTGGAACTTAAGCGTAACGCAGGGGAAATTAGTGTCATATATTTGGAAAAGGCTGTGAGTGATGGAAAATATGGGTTTTACAAGATTTTGCAGTACATTTCTCATCAGACAAAATCAAAACCTGATCGTGATGAAGTAGATGGAGGTGGTGATGAAGTGTTTGTTGCAAGACAGGAATGGTCTAGAAAAGAGAACATTTCCAAAGAAGATTGTACAGACTCTTCTGGATTGTTTAAGGAGGCATCTGGAGTCCATAAAAGAATGACATCTGATCAATCTGTGACCAAAGCTGTCGATCATTCACCAGCTGTAACGAAACAGGATACAGGAGAAATTGATTCATTAGCAACCTTAGAAGATGAAGATGGAATTTCAGGTTCCTCTCAGAAAAAAGAAGCTGCACCCCGCCGACGAGGGGTGTGGAGGATCTTCAAGATTTGTAATGACCATTAACACATGTATTCGTTACTTTACACAGTTGAGACGTTCTTTTAAGTTTTTTTTTTACTGTAATTTGATGGATGTACAGAAGTAAAGATACCTCTGGAGCTCTCCTAGAATGCTGAGAAGAAAAGTAAATGTCTCATGTGCATGAGAACCCCACCGTCATTACTAAACACTCATCATGATCTCAACTTGCGGCTAATGAACTAAAGACATTAATCATATGGCATGATTAAAACGTCAAAGCAACCGACCAAAAGATGGTGAAGAATAAGACCTAACAAAGTAAGTAGGATCTGTTTTGCCAATAATTCCTACTGTGATGCTGACACTACAAAATTGAATTGTCGAATGTTATGGTTTTTTTTTTTTTAATTTGAGTCAAAATTTAATTAAATATTTATAATAAATATTCATTTAGAGTTAAATTAAGTCAAATATCATAAAAAAATTATTAATACATGTTATTTCATTTATAAAATTCAAATTCAAAATTTATTTAAAAGAATTAAGTTTTTTTCATTTAAACTAATAGATAATTAGTTATAACATGTGTACAATAGTTGTATTATATACTATTATATGTTATTTTAAAATTAAAAGAAAAAAATGGTTATAATATTTTTTTATACAATAAAACATGTGAATCAGTATGCTATTATCATATTATATTATATATGCTTTTCTTTTCTACTTAACTAAAGATATAAATAAAAGTGCAACATTTAAGAATTATATTAACCCTTTAGTAGTTACTGGCTTTCTTTTTTTTCTTCTTGACTATGATTTTCTTGGTAGATATGTTGATTTGCAAAATTAGAAAGGTTGCACAGGTGATGGACCTCAGAGGAATTAACTCCACAATTCAATGGTTAATGGGCACGTATAGTCTGACGGAACAGTAACAACGCGTCGGCCAAACAAGGAAGCCTGAAAAAAGCATCATGGACTTTTGTGGTATCTTTTTTTTTTTTGGGTACATCAGAAACTATTAAAAGCTTAGTTTCTGGGGAACATAGTCCCAGTACAGTCGTTTTGCAAAAGCAGACTAACACCTATTGGGGGTGTTGGAAATTTGGTGGTATCTTTTACTGATATTTCTTCTCTCCAGAACCGCCCCACATGTCCTAGCCACAAATGGATTAGTGGTCACCTCCTCCACGCCCATGGTTTAGGCCGTGTTTGGCGAAAATGTTTGCTCTTAAAAGACGTAAACTAAAAAGGCCGTTTTCAATGGCGGTGACACCAAACATGTCTCATGATTATCCTCGTTTGGTCTTTTTTTTTTTTTTTTTAAGATTGATTGACGTCCCCTTATTTGATTCTAATGCTAACATGGAGGCCTTAGTTGGGTATTAGAGGAAAATAAATAATATTAATAAAAGAAAATTCTTAACATATTTTAAATATATTATATTAGTTTATACAAAGATATCATATAAAAGAATTCTATTAACAACCCTTTAACAATGAAAAAATAGATAATTAGATATATTTATTCAGTATTCACCTATTAATTAACTTTGACCTTAAATGAAATATTGATAATCTACTTCAGGAGTTCAAACCACTCAAAGTAATTTAAAGGGACTCCATTGATCAAAAAAGAAAAACTTACTAGTTAGGGCTTGATTGTAATAACGATTTAGTTTAGGGATCAACTTAGCGGTTATTTGTATTCCCTATCAAATGATTATCCATTAGTGCCTGCTATAAAAACAGTGAAGCCGAAATTCAGAGAAGCAGCAAAGGTAAAGGCTTTAACTTTAACTCGTGCCTGACTCACGGGACTCGGGGAAAGGGCGCACAGGACTCACGAGACTCGGAAGAAAAAAGGAGAAGAGCATTAATGGAGGCAAGCACAGCGAAGAAGAAAAGCGAGCAGGTGCTAGACGGTTCGGATATAATGAAGTTGGTTGGGAACGAGGAGGTGTTTAGCAATTTCGTGGATAATAAGTTCCAGGAGCTTGATAAGGACAGGGATGGTCAGTTGTCTGTGAAGGAGCTGCAACCTGCTGTTGCTGATATTGGTGCTGCACTTGGGTTACCGGCGCAAGGAACTTCCTCTGATTCTGATCATATCTACGCTGAGGTTTGTGCCCAGTTCATTAATTCTATCTGTGCTTTGTTCTTTCTTTTGTTGTGGTTCTGGGTCTGGCTTTTTGGGTTCTTTAAAGTGGGTTTTTTTATTGAATGCATGTTACTTTCTTGTTGATCATCTTCTGTTTGATGAACTGCTTGTTGTTTATGTTACAAACAATAGATAATTCACAGAAGAAGAGCAAAATTTTTTATGGGTTTCTTGTTTTGTGAGTTAGGAGGAAGAACGATAAAAATTCTAAGGGGGAATGAATGAATGGTCGTGTTCTTATCTTGATGTATGATCCAGCGCAACATGCAGAAGATAAAGGTTTTACGTTACCACATTTATTAATCCTTTAGCATTTTGTTAAGTTTTGTAAGCGTTCTAATGTTCCATACCACCATGATCGTATTGGAAAAACCATATGGGGAATCATTTCGGCGCTGTTTGGTTTAGCTGTTCTAGAGCTGATAGTCAAATATTCAATGATTGATTGTTGTTATCTTGTCAAACACCCTTATCCATTCAATTAGAGAAAACTCCTATTCATTTAATTAGAGAAAATATCTATTAATTGTTTCCCCAGTTAAACCAAACATGACATTCTTTTTATAATCTATAATTACTATACCCTTTATCTTCTTCTTCATGTTGTCACAAATTATATATAAAAAATGAAGTAGTGAGAAGGACATGTTTATAAAGTATTATTATTGTATTTATTGCTTTTCTTGGGGCTGTTTAGGGAAACAAGCCTAAATTTCCATTTAGAGCATGCTCTAGAGACATCTAATCTATGATTCAACTTGGTCGACGTTGTGTGATTTTGGTTCTTACTCCCGGGGTCTTTGTTTCCCACTTGGATACTCTTCAAGTTGTCCCTTCAATTTAATTTTATCTTGATGTTTAAAGGAGAAAGCAGCTGACGAATGCTGTGGAATCCACTTCTTATGTCTTTATGGAACTTAGCTTTTCAGACAAAACATGGAAGCTTAATGTGACAAAAGTCAATTTGTTCTATAATTGATAATTAAATATGGCTGTTTAGGTGGTGATGATTACTTGATTAGTGGGGACAAGGCAAACCCTTCCGCAAAAAGTGAGAGTACCATACCTAATCCAATACCCATTTGCTAAAACTAAATATAAAATATTGCATGTTACGTGTGCATGATAAATATGGGAAGAAAGAGCACTGTCATGTGAAATTGTTTTCTTTCTCTCTCACACTCACTGGTTTTATGCAACAGAAATCTTGAACTAAATTTACCATAACTGGTTTTTAGGGTGTAGAGGATGAAATTTGGCAAGGGTTGCACCAGTAATGTCGTAATAATTTTCCTGCTTCAAACCATATTATTTATGTGGCCCTGCATCTATGAAGCTTTTAGAGTCTACTGAGTAATAAAGCCTTGTGTTGTTCTCTTTTTTCTTATCCAATTATTTGTGTATTAAAAGCATCAACTTGTCTTTTGATGACATCCAATTAAAGTTTAAAACCAGTCAATTTCTTGTGTATTAAAAGCTTCAAGTTGTCTTTTGATGACAAATGAACTTATCTTGTAACTTTGACCCAATTAAAGCATAAAACTAACAAGTTTAGATTTATGGTATGGTCTTCCTGCTATTAATATGATTAACAGGTTCTGAGTGAATTCACACATGGCAAACAAGAGAAAGTAAGCAAGACAGGATTTAAAGAGGTTCTCTCAGATATTCTACTAGGCATGGCTGCTGGTTTGAAGCGAGACCCTATTGTGATCCTCCGTATTGATGGGGAAGACCTCTTGGAATTCATCAATGGACCAGGCTATGAAGCAGAGGTCGTGTCTATATTTACACAGATAGAGTCACCTGATGCATCCCTTCAAGATTACATTATAAAGGCCTTGGAAAAACTTTCAGTTGATCAAGGGATGCCCCCTTCATCTGATTCTTGGGTAATTGACTTTTCTCTTTTAGAACTCATCATCAGTCTTTATTTTCCATTAAGTTCATATCTGGAATTCTGGATATCGGAATGTGTTAAAAATTCACACTCGAAAGAAAAATCAGCTAATGTCTAGTAAGACTTGAATCATTTTTCATTTCTGTACTCACCACACGTTCTTTCTTTTTCCTCCTTTTTTTTTTTTTGTGTGTGTGTGTGTGTGTGTGTTTTATTGATTATGTAGGTCATGAGTAACATAGTGGAACCAGCTCTGCAATCATGCTGTGCCAATGATAAA